TAGTCAGTGCCATTCACGGATAGCTGGGGAGAAGAGAAAGCCAACAAGAAGCCAAGGCCTCTCTGCAAGTTGGCACCATATGCAGGCAGCTGGGGAGAGAACCAGCTCCTTCCAGTGCATGGGCTGGGAGACTAGAAGGGCCAAAGTCCCTTCATCCTACTCCTCTGCATAAGCAACAGGTTGATCCAGAGAAACAAAGGCTGTGGTAAGAGCTATTGAGGTAAAATAAAAGTTAATGCTTGTAGTGTTTCGTGTTTCACTGGCTTTGCGGCCTAAAGTGGGTAGTCTGATCATCTATTTAGAGGATAGCAATATGAAATGTAGCAACTATGGAGGATCTCCTTCTGAAGGTGGTAGCCATTTTTAATTCCCTATTATCTTGTTTTGAAGTCCTTTAATGCATTCATTGCTTTCTCTTTATTGGATTTATTCTGTTATATTTTGTTTTATTTTATTATGTCTGAAGATATGGGTAGCTATTTTGAAGAAAACGTGGCATTATGGTAACCAATGTTGATTTCCTATTATTTTGTTTTGAAGTTCTGTATCACTTACACTGTTTTGTTTTGATTCGCTTTATTCTGTTTTATTTTGCTTATTTTGTTCTCTTTAAAATAAAAATTACAAAACATTAAAAAATAGAAACAAAAGCAGTCGGGGCATCACAATCCCTGGCTTGAAATTATACTTTAGAGCTACTATAACAAAAACAGCATGGTACTGACAAAAACAAAAACAAAACAAAAAGACCTGAGGTTTGAACAGATTAAAAGAAGCAGAAACAACTCCAAGTACACTGAGCCATTTTGTTTGACAAAGGGGCAAAACATGTTAACTGGAAGAAAGAAAGCCTCTTAAAAGATGATACAGAAAAACTGGCTTTCCACATGCCAAAGACTAAAGCTAGAAGAATGGCTATCATGATGCACTAAAATAAAATTAAAATGGATCACAGATCTCAATATTTAAAACAAAAACACTAAATCTGCTGAAAGATAGACAAGGGAGAACTTTAGAAGACCAAGGAGCAAGCAAAGACTTTATAAACAAAACCTTGATCACACAGGAATTATCACAAAAAGCTCAACAACTGGGATTTCACCTTATTAAAAATCATGTACACAACAAAAGAAATCATGAACAAAGTGAAATAACAACTTACAGAGTGGGAAAAGCTTTCTGCTAGTTGTTCTTCAGACAAGAGAAATATCTACAACATATAAAGAATTGGGAAAAAACAGACCCTCTAAATTCAAAGACTCTGTGCAAACATGGGCATCTGAGATGAATAGACACTTCTCAGAAGAAGTACAAGTTGCAAATAAAAATATGAAAATATGTCCCACATCACTGGTCATTAAAAAATGCAAATTAAAACAATGCTGAGAGTCTATCTCACTCCAGGAAAAATTGCTATTATCACAAAACCCAGGGGGCACAGAAGTGGAAGAAATCAAAAGCCACCCAATGGGCTTTCTTAAATGGTAGCATCAGAAGCTACAAAGCAAGTGAATGAGTCTCTAGGGAAAAAATCAGAAATACTTACACAGGTATTTAAAGAAACTTAGCATAATGAAGCACACAGCTGATGAATGCAGAGCAGATGCAGATTAAAAAATAGAGGAGCTAAGGAAAGTGCTAGAAACCCTGAATGCCCAACATAGGAAAGAACAAACAGATATCCAGGAGGATAAAAGTTTATTGTATAATATATATGACAGAATGAACTATTGTGAAGATAGACTATCAGACTGAGAAGACAGGTTTCAGATTAGTGATTATCAAATGAAAGACTTCTTAAAAATAGCATGGCATCACAAAAGTGAATCCAACAACTGCTAGAAGACACAAAGAAAAATAATGTAAGCTTAACTGGAGTCAATGGAAAAGTCAGAAGATAACACAAAGAACATAAAAACCTGCTCCCAAATTTAATAAGAGAAAACTTCTCAAACATGAAAAAAGAATTTGACATAGAGTTAAGTAAAGCATGATCAAGAAAAAAAAAAAAAACACTGCACCAAGGAATACAGCAGTCAAAATTCCAGAAACTCAACACAAGAACAGAATATTAAAAGCTGCTAGAGAAAAAAACCCAAATAATCATAAGGGAAAACCATTTAGAATTACCATAGATTTGTCAAAACAAACTCTTAAATCAAGGCTAGCTTATGGTGAAGTATGTTAGACCCTAAATGAAACAACCTTTAACTCAGATTGACATACCTTGAAAATAATCTTTCAAAGTTAATGCAGAAATAATATATTTCCATGATAAAAAGAACACATGAAAAATTCATGAACAGCAAACCTGCCCTCCAAAAATTTTGGAGGTATTCTATAAAAAGACAATGAAGACAACAATTCCATGAATCCCAACAAAATGTGCGCCCCAAGGAAGGCAAGCAATTAAAAACAGAAGAGAGAAAAAGGCCAACAACAGGATGATAATGTCACAATGATAATGGAATATGTATCAGTTATAACTATCAATGTGAATGGTCTCAATTCACTACTCTAAAGAAACAGACTGGCAGAATGAATCAAGCATCAGGATCCAACAATGTGCTGAATACAAGAAACACATTTAAATCTAAGTGAAATTAATAGATTGAAACTCAAAGGATGAAAAATAATACTGTGGCCATTGTCATACTGTGGGGGAAGATAACAAGACCTCAACAAGAAGCAAGCCCTTCCTGTGAATCCGTGCCATGCACAGGCCACTGCCAGGCATCGGGGGACAGCCAGACCTCAGCCCCTTTCAGTGCACAGGCTGGCAAACAAGAAGAGCCAAACCTCACTCCGTAAGCAACTGGCTGATCCAGAGAAAAACAGGCTGTGATGATAGCTACTGAGATGAAATGCAAATTGATGCTTGTGGTGTTTTGGTGTTTCACTGACCCTGCAGGTCTAGGGGCAGTGGTCTGATCACCTGTTCAGAGGACAGCGATAGGCAGTGTGGCACCTAAGGGAGATCTCCTTCTGAGGGTGGTAGCCATTGTTGATTCCTTATTGTCCACACACTTTCCTCCAAGTTATATATCTACTGAGACACAGTTCTTCTTCTTAGCAAATTTGTTTATAAGAAATGTACCTGTTATTTTAGTTAGCAATTAAATATTCTACTGCCCAATGAAATCTGTGAGTAAAGAAATCACCTGTTTTCCAAAAACGTGAACAAAATAGAAGACACTCACTCTCCCATTAAGAATCTTTCATCATGTGGTCAGTGTGACAATGTTGAACTGTAAGAATATCCCACAATATTCACTACCGCTCTTTGTGTTTCAACTTTACAGAACAAGATGGCAGTGTTTCCCTGACTTCTGAGTCTGTATCAATTCTCAGTTCTATTTCCTTCCTCTGTAAGATCAACAACAAAGCACAACCTTCAAGAGATTGAGAACTCCATGGACAGTGAAGCATAAACCTTTCTCATTTCCACAGAGTAGCACTCCTTCCATCATTTCTGATGATCATTCTGGGAAGATGACAAAACTGACAGCACTCAGCATTTTGCCCTGAACATACTCAGATCATGACCGTAGGGCACGTAATCCTATGTGTCAGTGTCTGTCTATACACCCCATAATGTCGCTAGCAGATGACCCACGTTGCAGCCTGGAGTACAAGGGATGAAGTTCTCAAGGAAACCTGGGTCTCCATTCTAACCTCATCTAGGAGAAGTCCTGATAAAGGGCAGGCTCTGAGTTTATGGGTGAGGAAGAAGGGAGGATGGAAAAACTGTTATTCAGGAGTAGAGCTTTTTCCTAACTCAGAGACAAGTTCTCACACATTGTCTTAATGATGAGCCCAGGGTAAGATACAGACCAGCTCTAACGCCTGGACACATCAAAGGGTAGATGGACAGTCACCATGAACCAACTGGTCAAAATGTTTCACAGATGAGAAAACTGTTGTTCATGAATTCCAGGTCAGTACTGGGGCCAGGCCACCATGCAGGGAATAACAATGGGATGGTTGTGAGTCCGCCCCCACAGTTAGAGACTCCAAGATCTGAGGGAATTCTGCACTTGTCCTGTGAGGTTCACAGAAAGAAAACTGCTCCTCATATAACTCCACTCTGAAGGGTTCTGCAGACGAGTCTGTGCCATGTGGCTGACATAGACATCACCACACTAAGAGTTCATTTTGAGTCTCAGCAGGATCTAAAACGTCCAGTTTCCATTCCTAGTAAGAGGGAGTGGACCCAATGATGGCTGGCTGAATTCTGCATACAAGATGATGTTCTTGAGAATCTCACATCATCCAGGTTTGCTCAATAAGGATTTCTTTTCTAAAATGTTTTAAAAACCTTGCTAAACAGTCTAGAAATGTACAACAGAGACACACATACACAGAAACAAACAAGATGTGAGGTGCTAGGAGAGATGTGAAAAGAAATACAGAAAAAAGCAGACGGTGTCATTGGGGTAGAGAAAAATAGAGACACAGTGACACAGTGAAGGAGAAAGGAAGGGAAGGGAAGGAGATGTGACACAAGGAGAGAAAGGAGAGGGCAAGTTGGGACATGGAGGGGAAGAGAGGAAAGAGAAATCAACTTGACTCTTTGCTTCCTTGGAACATGAATAAAACATGTTCGAGCTGGGTTTCTATCATTTGGAACCACAAATAACATTGTTGACTATAGTTACTCAAAAATAAAAGTTAGTTTTAATCACTGTAACTTCCCTGGATATAATGGAAATAACAGAGGTCTCTCCATTTGCCCACAATGCTTACTTACACTGTACTCAGTGACCTGCAAGACAGGCAGGGAGAGTGTGAGGCCATCTTCTGAACAGCATGATAAAGGATCATGGAGGACAAGCCTGTCCACATCCTGACTCCTCAGCCCTCCCTCACAGGGCACCCATGATGCTTCCTTTGGAGGAACAACCCCACCTTCTGACCTCAGGTTTCTTGGGTCACCTCAAAACACACTCTTCATTCTACATTTCAGCTGTCGGTTCCCTTAAAAAGATGTGAGACCCAAATCACTCAGAACCAGGTTTAATTATCATAAAAAACACCTACACTCAGACAAATGGTTCAAAGCATCTCTGGATCTATATGCTGGGGGAACATAAAAAGACAAGCCATTTGGATCTCAGTAGATGCTGCAGTCACACACAGGTAGAGACTCCAGAGTGATTTCAGGGGGTCTGGCAGAAGTTCGTGGGAGAGGGGTCACAGGAGGTGAACTGGAGCTGCACTGAGCCACTGTAGGACTCCGATCATAGGAGAGGGAGACTGAGTAGAGGTGGAAACTCCAGGCTGTGATAGGCAGGCCTTACAGAAGAGCGACGGCCAATTACACTCAGGAGTCACTGCAGGAGCCCTGTGGGAGACACGAGGGAGTGATTAGCACACAGTATATGGGGGATGCCCACACTCCTCCTGGGTCCTCTACTGCTTCACTCAGAGAGAGCTGAAGTCCAGGGCACATCACCACCACCACCCAAATATTTGCATAAAGGAGAAATCTGTGTAAAAGACACAGAACTGCAGCTGGACGAGGTTTGTGGTGATGATCACAACACCCACGTCCTGAGGAATCTGAAGGGATCAATGATTTTGCCTAAACCGATGGTATCTAACCTACCTCTCACCGTTAGTAACCTTTTCCAGTCAATGGCCAAAGCCAGTTGCTACAAATATGTGGCATAAAACAGGGGTCACCTTGATGACTGACACCCAAAACCCTCAGGTTTCAAGTTTTACAGAAAAATGCCACAAGTCCTAGGGAACAATTTTGGGAGCTTCCTAACCACGGTGGCCACCTTTCCCTTCTTTGTTCAGTAGCACAAGGGATTGAACCCAGGGTTCACACTGAACCATCGCCAGCCCTTATTGTGTATACTTAGACAGGATTTCACTGAACTACACAAGCTAGAGTCAAAATTACAATCTTCCTGCCTCAGTTTCCCTTTGTGCTGGAAATATAGGGGTGTAATACCATCCCAGATGTCCTTCAATCTCAGTCCCTGGAGCAAGAAACAGGCAAAGAGTTGAAATTATTGTACCAGGTACAACCATCTCATGCCCTCTGCTCTCACACCTGTGTCCCTGCACCTCTACCCACAGTTCATCAGGACTGAAATATTACCTGCTGGTGGAGGCCCACGGGTGCCTACAAAACGAAATGAAACACAGAAAGATGTCATTACACAGATGGCCACTCTCTCACACACCCCACAGAGGAGGAGATGTGTAACCTAAATGCAGAGTTATATTCTCTCCAACCCATGTGCTACGAGGACCCTAAGCTACAATCTCCCAATGCCAGTGACATTGTCACAAGAAAGAAAAGAAACAAGGGCTCAGAATCTTTGAATGGTAAAAGCTTTTGGAAAGGAACCAGAGGTAAGCACAAAGGAAGACCGACAGTGAGCTCCACCATCAGCCCTGAGACAGGCCCAATTTCAGTCAGTACAATCAGATTCTGGTGTCTTGTACAAGGCTGTCACCTCCTCTAGTTTCCATTCCAGCCTTTGTTCTTGGGGGTTCAAGGGAAAAGAGGAGACCTCTGGAGCCCAGCCTCCCTGAACCAGGGTCTCTGATGCAGCCCTTTCTTTCCATTTCCCCCAGAACCTCTTTCTTTCTTCTTTCCTTCCTTCCTTTCTTTCTTTTCTTTCTTTCTTTCTTTCTTTCTTTCTCTTTCTTTCTTTTCTTTCTTTTTCTTTTTTTCTTTTTCATTTTATGGAAAAAGATAAAATTTCATGACAAAATAATGGGAAATTAGGAATACTTAATACATTACATATTGTTATCTTTAAAGTAGTTGCTCAGAGTACAAGATATCTACATAAAAATATCTCCAAATGATATTAGCGCAAACCCTTCTTTTTAAGGAACTAAGAAACACTAGTAGCACAACTGACTTGCCACTCACCTTTCTGACTCCTGCGGTGGATGAAGAAGCCCAGCCCTAGGAAGATCAGCCCCAGCACAAGGCCCCCAATGCCACTCAGCATCTTGCTCTGTGCAGATTCAGACTGTGCCCCTGGGAAGTGAGACTGAGGGTCAGCGTTTGTCCCTGTCCCCTACACGGATCTTGGTGAGGGCCTAAAGTGCATTCCGAGTTATAAGGGCTGAAGGTGCCAGGAGAACCTAGTGCTCTATTCTGGCCACATCTAGAGAGGGGGAAGGACCAGTAGGCAGATGCATTCTCCACTGGGTCAGATCCATAACCCTAGAGCCTAAGGCCCAAATCACCAGCCCTAGTAGTCTGTCCTTCAGCAGTGCTGGGCCTGGTTTCCAGGTCTACAGTGTATTCAATTATCTCCCCAGCATCTGGAAAGACAGCCAAGTCAGGATTCTCCTCAGGCATTTGAAGAAGTTCGATTTCTCTGAGCCTCAGCCCAGTAGTGGCATCCAGGACCAGTGAGGGAATAGGATAACCTACAGAGAGCACAGCCCTCTGTCTCAGGGAACCCCAGTGAAAAAACACAAGCTGTCCCTTACTCCACTCCACCGTGATGGGACTCTGGAGGCTGGGGTGCTCCACTCGGCAAGTGTAGATGTCTCCACGCTGGGGGGTCATCTCCAGCATCACCAGCATCTGGAAGGTCCAGTCCCCATTTCTAATAAGAGGGGTGGACACAATGCCAGTTGTCTCCTCCTGGCCATTCCGAAACCACTGGACTTTGATCTGGCCTGGATAGAAATCTGACACTGAGCAGACCAGCAGGTTGTGGTGGTTCAGGGCCTCTGTCCTGGATGGAGAGATGGTCACCTTGGGCTCCACTGTGGGCAACAGACAGCAAAAGGTAGAGTGAGTGAGATGTGAGACCCATGACAGGTCTCCCAGGGGAAGGGTCTGTCTTGGGAACCAGAGTGGAAATCCTGGGTTCCACATCTTTGATTAAGAGACATTGGACAAAAACAAATTTAGCAGTCACTGGGATACAAACATCACTCCATGATCCATACATTTTATAGAATTTCACCAATCTAGTAATAGATTCAAAAAACATAAATTAATGCATAATCAATGAATCGTGAACAAAATGTTTAGTTTTTGAAGCAAAAGTAGAAGAATCTTGAAAATAAATAGTACTGAGGAAATGCATTCCCCTGTGCCTTAGTGGCTTTGTCTTTTCAGATTGCTACTCAGGGTCAGACAGGACAGGCTTCCCCTGACTATTTTACATATCACATCCTTTAAAGTCATTTCACTGTATTCCTTTAGTGTGAAGCTAGTAAATATTCAGCATGTTTTATTGTTTCACATGAGAAAAGTTTCAAAATATTTTTATGGAGTAAAACAAATAGTGAAAATGTAATTATATGGTGATGTTAGAACATGGGTTAGAAAAAAGCAAAAATGTAACAATTAAGTTAAGAATTTTGTGACTCTTCTTAAAGTGGGGCAGATGGACTAAAAAGTGAATTTTCAATCCTTTGAAAGTATCCTTTTGTCCAACTACATTGAAAACCAGGCAGGAATGAGCTCACAATATCACTTCTGGTCATGACTAGCTTTGGTGGGGTTTTGCTCCCATGAGGTTTTTGCATCCAGTTAAAAAGGAAATAATGACTGTTGTGTATTTTGGAGAAGCCTCAGGACTTCATGAGTAATTGCGTTGATTATTTAATGTTTTATTATATGTCACCACCAGTGTCTGGATGGTGTGAGGCTAATCCCTAATGCACAACACAGCCCTAAGACCTAATGCAACATTAGATGGTGCCCAGCTGGGTAAGTGTCTGGAAATCAGGACTCACTAGATGGATAAACTGATTTCCCAGGTACCTATCCTTGCAGTAAACGGTGATCTGGACCTCAGAGTCGGGGTGGCAGCCTAGGCCAAAGGCAACCTGACTTAATTTTTTCATTCGACTAGCAGATTTTTCCAGAGCTGCAGGCCATTCCACTTTATCTGTTGAACTTTTCTCTAAGAGATTAAAATTCTACCTTTTAACATTATTCAAGGGTTGTTTTTGTTCTTAACAAACACTTTTCCCTCGCCCTTTGCATTTACAAATTTTTTACTATGGAAACTCCCAAGTCTACAAGTTTACTTCAAGGCACTGAGCAAAATAACTAAGCCTAGCAGTATGGAAGGACATTTTACCTTTCTGTTTTCTCTTGACCGTAAGTAGGTAGCTGAGTACACACTGCATTCATTTTAGCAAAGCTTTACTGAGCTCATACCATGACCCCTGAGAGGGGGCAGGACCCGGGAGGCTTTGCCCAGTGGGAAGGGAGCAGAGCGGGAGGAGGCCGCAAGTAGGCCGCCCGGTCCTCCCTCGCCCCTTCTCAAGCCCTGGGTGGCCCAGGTCGGAGCCCTCCGCTGCGCGCTCCGGTGCAGCCTCCTCGCAGGGGCCTCACCTCGCCACCGCCGGGTCAGCTGAGGTATGCTCGCCTCGTAGTTGTGTCTGCACACGGTGTCCAGCTCGGCGCGCGTCCCCTCCAGGACGTCCTTTTGTCTGTTGAAGTACTCGGCGTCCGGCCGCCCCAGCTCGGTCACCGCGCGGTACTCGCCCACCGCGCTGTCGAAGCGCACGTACTCCTCCTGGTTGTAGATGTACCTGGTCACCAGCCGCACCTGCTGCGTCCCGTTGGTGTAGTAACAGTAGGGCTTAAACTGGAACAGGAAGTCCTCTGCGGGAAGCACAGGAGGGCGTCAGCCCGGCGGCCTGCGCGCCCCCCACGGGAGCTGATCGGGCGGGGGGCGGTGACAGGCACCGGGGTCCCCACCCGCACCCCAGCCGCGTCCCTGCTTCACACCGAGCCCTGCACCAGCTCACAGCTTCCCGCGCGAGTCCCGATTCCACGGAGCCCGAAACCTCGGGACAGCGCGCGGGTCCGAGAGTTCAGGAATGAGCAGAAGGGCCCAGAACCGAGCCGGCCCACAAGCACAGCCGCTCGGCCCTTGAGGAAAACGCTGGGCTGGCTCTGCCTCTGCCGCCCCCACACACCCAAGGTGGGGTTCGCTCACTCCTCAGTCGGAGCCACCTGAACTTCTAACCCCAGGAAAGAGCGTTTATTCATGGGAACAGCACAGGATTTCAAATTAACTAGACAACATTCCAATTAAACTGTCGGGGGCAGGGTGTGGTGTGCAAGCCTCTGTTTCCAGCACTCAAGGAACTGAGACAGGAGGATCCCTAGGAGTCTGAGGTCAGCCTGAACAGCAGTCAGGACCTGCTCTAAAAAACCTAAAAAAAAATTTTTTTAAAAGCTGAGTAGCCTGCTTAAACAGATTACTTAAGGGAATATCGCTATCCTAAATATAAATGCATAAAAGAAATTCATAATTCCTACACAGGATTGTTAGAAAAACTGACAGAGAATTTATATAAACAGGGTCCTGTGTCTGAAATGAGTGCTTTCTCGGTGTGCATCACAGGTTCCCCTTCTGCACCTCCTTCTTCTGAAGTCAGCCTTCCATCAACTCCTGTCCCAAATCCCTCTCACGTCACTGTCTGACCACAGGTCAGCAAAGCACACAGTCAAGGCTCCCTTTATGCTGACTTCACTCAGATACTTGAGTTTGCCTCCCTGAACCCTGCTCTCAGGAAGACTGAGCCTCTCTCCTGGATACGGAGTCTGCAGAGATCATGGCTGCTCCACCCTCGCCAGCCAGGACCCCACAGTGTTTCTCCCAGAGAGGATCTCAGGGAACCCTGATAGCGACAGAGCCTGCAGGGTCTACTCTGAAGAAATTCATTTTATTCATAAATAACCCTGGCTCCCTGCACCCACCTTGGTTGTAACACAGACTCTGTCCCTTCGTTCTATTTATAACACCCCACCCTGGCCAGGAGGTAGGCAGAGCCCCACCTCAGCATTAGCAGATGGGCTGAGAATGTACAGAGCCTTCTTCCCAGAGGCAATCTGTGAGAAACATTAGGTTCTGAGGTCCCTGGGCTCAATGCCTTCACCCAGAGCCCCAAGGTCACTCAGAGCCCCCTCCCCAGGGTGGTGGCTGTGGCTCTGGGAGCAGCCGCCCCACACTCACCTGGGGAGTCTTCGCCCTCAGCCAGGGGCCAGCTCAGCACCATCAGCACCACTGTCACCATGGCTGGACCAAGGCCTCTCGGGATCTGCAGAGCCATCTTCACAGACATCGCTGAGGAGGAAGGAGAAGGCAGTGGCAGTCAACACAGCTCCCACCTGCTGTACCCACTTCAGAGAATAGAGAACTGTGACTCCCTCCTGGGTGTTAGGGTTGGGGAGTCCCTAGGAAAGGAGCCAATCAGCACTGGAGCTGAAGCGCATCATCTATCTCCAGGCAGACATCTTTATGAAGGCTCCCAGTCCACTGCCTGTGTCTGCATGAAACTGCACTGGATGAGGTTTGAGAAGGTGTCCTCTCCTATGTGTGGGGACCGAATGCCCCCCCCCGGGGGGGGGAGACAAAAGATAAAAGCAGTTCAATTAAAGTATGATAAATTTATGAGAGTTACAAAACCTATTTTTTCTTAAAGTTAGAGTTAACAGAGAAAATAAATGAGCACCATGTTTCAGGGAACAGAAAATTATCATCACATAGATGTTCACTTTTATTGTGTGAGCCCCTCTAGGAGCCATGTGCCTTGGTGAGGAAGGCAGAGGTCACAGAGGGAAACGGTTGGAGCTGCTGTCCTGCAGACCCAGTGCTTAGTGTGTCAACAAATGACTCAGCCTCTTTTGACCCCAGGCTGCTCTCTGTAATGTGTGCTGATGCTTCTTTCCTGTCACACTAGATCTTCACACAAATGCATTTGAGAGTAATGTGACATGGTTACAGTGCACAGTGTCCCTTAGTGGTCTCCTGTAACTGTTGGAAACATCAGGTTACCTTGTGGGGCAGAATAGAAGAAAACACATTGGCATCCAGCCCTAGAGCAGGTGATCCTTCCTTAAGTGAAATCTATTGCTTTGTATTATTTCAAGGAAACTATGTGAGTAATTAATTAGGCTGACACTGTTCTTTGTCCTCAGCTGTTTACAACCTCCACAGTGATCTACAAGCTTCCACAGCTTTCAAAATCACCTTTCAAGGACACAAAACAGATGTGGGGAGCATCTTCCAGGGCTGCAGTGTGACTCAGGGAGCAAAGGATTAGTTGGAGGTTCCACTATGCTAGCCCTAAACATGACATGCTGAATGTGTACTAAACAGAGAACTCTTAATATACCTGTCTTATTCATCAGGCTCCTCTTACCCATTTCTAATTACAAATCAATCAGAACAATTACTGTAAACATTAACGTCAGCTCTCACCACGACAGTATCAACCCCTCCTTCCCTCAGCTCCTTTTATTTTTGATTCACCTTTTAAAACAGAGAACAGACTCTAAAAGTGGAATATAAGGAGTTTCAACAGTCAAAGGTAGAGAAGCCACAAGTTTCCATTAGTGGCAGATAACAGGACAGGGTTGTGAGAATGTCCCATGTCTGTGTGTGGACAGGGAGCACCTGACCCTGGGAAGGCTGCCACTGGGCTCCCAGGAGCAGTGCTGGACTCAGAGTGGGGCCAGCTCAGCACAAGGAGGGTCTGCATGGGAGCAGCGGCTATGGAAGGACAGTACATTGAACTTAGACCTGGATAAGGTGGATAGAAAGGGATCTGGAAGTGCCCTGCATGTCCTTAGCCCACCTCAGACTGTCCCCCATCCAGAATAATCACAGGACTCTGGAACCTCCCCCACTCCTGTCCTAAGGGGAAAGCTCCCTCAGGTTATGCTGGGCTGTGAGGCAAAGGCTGCCTCACAGCTGCATTTCCCAGTGTTACTGGCCTTTTAGCACAGACTTTTCAGCTAGCAACAAAAGTGTCATCTTACAGTCCTTTTTCTGATTGGCTGAAACCTCTTCAGAAAGTCAGTGCTTTGGACCTCTGCCAGCCACAGCCCCAGCCCAGCACTCTCTAGAGTTTTCTGCACTGTCCAGTACCTGCTGCATTCCCCACTCAGGGCAGTCGCCAGTGGCCTGGCCTGAGAGAAAAACAATTTGGAAAAACACTTTACCCCACTCTACCTCACACAAACAGCCTTCCACGGTTAGGATAAGGGCACTGTAGACCAAGAAGGTTGATGGAGTAGGGGAAATAGCTCAGTGGCATAGCCCCTGACTGACAAGCATAAGGTCCTGAGTTCAATTCCTGGTACCAAACAATAAATATTAATAAATAAACAAATATTAACAGTCAAAATTAACAGAGTGATTGTTTAAAAGCTACTTTGACTCTTGAAGATTTTACTACCTATTCTAGGAAAGTACACCTTATAGGATGACCTTCATGAATGAAGATATACTTTGTAAAAATCCCTGAAAACTATATTTCTGATATGATACATACATTTCTGATATGATAATTTTTCATTCATCTTTTTAACATGATTAAAAAGCAAAAATTTTTCCTGGTACTTTTCACCTTGGTTCAGTGATGGCCAACTCTTTAGAAACCGAGTGCCCAAACTGCCACCTCAAACCCACTTATATATTCCAAAGTGCCACTAAACCTAATGCTGAGGTTTTAGCTTAGGAAAAATAACTCATAGGTTAACAACTTTGTGTAAAAAAAAAAAAAAAGCATGCCATAGGTTTGCCACTACTGGCCTTTAGAAAATGAAACAATGACAGTCTTGAACCCCTACCTTTTACTTCTTCGTTATGGAGGGAAAGTGAGGTGAGAAAGTGTATAGGATGGGTTTGATCATGAATCCACTGGATCGTATTGTCCCTCTCTAAAGCACCACCTTCATTGTCTGCATAGAACTGTCATTTCAACTATCATTTCTGATGTTGGAGGCTGGACCTACTGGCTGAGGGTTTACAAATATGAAAATTTGAGTGTAATATGAAGCAATGAAAGAGTAAGAAAGTGAATAAAGCTTTGTGGGCTGTAATGACATAGTCCCAGGCCTATTTCATCCTCCTTGTTTTGATTTGGAAGGAGAGGGATCATCTGATTCTTGTTGTAGCTGTTGCAGTTGGTCTAAAAACCCTGCTCTGAGAAATCAATGCAATAGAGACTAAAAAAACAATCCAAAAAATCAATGAATCAAAGAGTTGGTTATTTAAAAGAATAAATAAAATTGATAAGCCCCTAGTCAAGCTTATTTTAAAAAAAGGGAAGAAAAAGCTCAAATTCAAGGAATGAAAGAGGAGAAATCACTAAAGACCCTATAGAAATGCAGAAAATCATCAACACCTATTTCGAAAACCTCTACTCTCAAAGGTTTGATAACACAGAGGAAATGGACAGATTCCTAGAAGCATATGAAGTACCAAAGCTAGGTCATGAAGATGTAAAACTACTGAATAACCCAATTTCTATTAATGAAATCGAAAAGGTAATTAAATCCTTACCTACGAAGAAGAGCCCAGGCCCAGATGGATTCATTGCAGAATTTTACAAGAAATACAATGAAGACCTAATGCCAACACTCCTGAAACTCTTCAATGAAATTGAAAGGGAAGCAATCCTTCCTAAGTCATTCCTGGAAGCAAATATTACTCTAGTACCAAAACCTGAGAAAGACCCAACTAAAAAAGAGAACTATAGACTGATCTCCCTAATGAACACAGATGCAAAAATCCTCAGTAGAATATTGCCAAATAGGATGCAGCAAATCATCAAGAAGATCATACACCATGACCAAGTGGGATTCATCCCAGGCATGCAGCGATGGTTCAATATACATAAATCAAGAAATGTAATACACCATATCAATAGAGCCAAAAGTAAGAACCACATGATCATTTCTATAGATGCAGAAAAAGCTTTTGATAAGGTCCAACATTCATTCATGATAAGAACCCTGCAGAAAATTGGAATAGATGGTCTTTACCTCAATATAATAGAGGCCATCTATGACAAACCAATAGCCAATATCATTCTAAATGGCCAAAAATTGAAGGCTTTTACTTTAAAATCAGGCACAAGACAAGGATGTCCCTTCTCACCACTCCTATTTAATATAGTACTAGAAATACTAGCCAGAGCAATTAGACAAGAGAGAGAAATAAAAGGCGTAAAGATAGGAAAAGAAGAAGTTAAGCTATCATTATTTGCAGATGACACGATAGTCTATATAGAAGATCCCCAAAACTCCATTGAAAGACTGCTAGATATAATAAATAAATTTAGTAATGTAGCTGGCTATAAAATCAAAACTCAAAAATCAATAGCATTCCTATACAATAACAACAAAGTCACAGAAAGAGAAATAAGAGAAACCACACCCTTCACACTAGCAACCCAAAAAATGAAATATCTAGGAATTACTATCACGAAAGAAGTGAAAGACCTGTACAGGGAAAATTATATTACACTGAAAAATGAAATTGAAGATGATCTCAGAAAATGGAAAAACATCCCTTGCTCGTGGATAGGAAGAATAAATATTGTGAAAATGGCCATTCCCCCAAAACTGTTATACAGATTCATGCAATCCCGATAAAAATACCATCAACATACCTCATAGAACTCAAGAAATCACTCCTAAAATTCATCTGGAGTGAGAAGAGACCTAGAATAGCAAGGACAGTTCTAAGCAGCAAAGGCAAGGCAGGAGGCATTACAATCCCTGACTTGAAATTATACTACAAAGCAACCGTAGTAAAATCAACATGGTACTGGAACCAAAACAGAGCTGAAGATCAGTGGAATAGATTAGAAGATACAATCACAACTACAAACACACTCAACCACCTTGTCTTCTATAAAGGGGCCAAACATGTTCACTGGGAGAACGACAGTGTCTTTAATAAATGGTGCTAGAAAAACTGGCTCTCCATATGTCGAAAACTAAAACTAGACCCATGCCTGTCACCATGTACTAAAATAAAATCTAAATGGATAAAAGATCTAAATATTAAAACAGAAACACTAAATCTATTGGAAGACAAATTGGGTAAAAACCTTGAAGATATAGGAGTAGGTATTCATGAATAGGACTCCAACCACACGGGAAATACTTCCCAGAATCAATAACTGAGATCACCTCTTATTAAAAAGTTTCTGCACGTCAAAAGAAGTCTCCAGCGTGGTGAGAAGAAAACCCACAAACTGGGAAAAGATCTTAATGAACTGCCCCTCAGACAAAGGACTTCTGTTTAAAACATAAAAAGAATTAAAAAAAATCAGACCCCCAAAAATTCAAAGACCCAATCCAAAAATGGGCATCTGAGATGAATACACAATTCTCAGATGAAGAAATACAAAAGGCAA